CTCCCCCCCCGGCTGGTAGGTGCTGGAAACGTCTTTGGCTGAGGAGTGTGGAGCTGACAGGGCCCCCTGCTAGGGGGAGCAGGAGGAAAGCCCGAGAGAGGTGGGAAAATCCCCTCAGATTCCTAGTTGGTCGGGTGGCGTGCATTCCCAGAGTCATGAGCTGGGCTGGGTCTGTCCTCTCCCTGGGGTCCGTCCACATTAGCTCCGTCTGCCCTGGAACGGGTCAACCAGTTCCCAGCCTGAGAAGGCATGTGGTGGGGAAGGGGAGGAGGCAGAGGTCGGCACAGCGGGGCAAGGACCCCCACTCCGTGCCAGCTCCCACCTGCGGTAAGGCCCCAGCACCCGAGGGTTGCCTCTGCTTGCCACCACCCCCCCCCCCCCCACCTGGGCCATCCCCGGCTAGACACAGTGGGGGTGGGGAGGCGGGGCGTGTCTCCCCGAGAGCAGGGTGTGGCCAGTGGTCCAGCGGGTCACTCGCGGATGGCCAGCCCGTCCTGACCCGGGAGACTTAACCCCACTCCCCACCATGCCTGCAGGCCGGGTGGGCTGAGGGTGCGCAACACCCCGAGACCGCAGCCCCTGGCGGAGCTCAGAGCAGGCTTGGGGAGGTTCTGCGGCTCCCGGCTGTCAACGCCCGCCGCCCTCCCTGCCTCACTTCCTCCCGCAGCCCCCACCACCCCGGAGGCACGGGATCCCAGCGGGTCCGCAGCAGCCCCGGCCGCCACGACCTGGCCTCGGCCCGCGGGGTAAGTCGGTGGGCGATAGGGGCACATTGGGGAGGGGGGGAGGTGCCTGGAGCCTGACAGCGACCGATCCGGGCGGGGAAGCCGGAGTGGGGGGGTGGGGGGAGGCTGCCTGCTTCTCCAGCCCCGAGTGAGGGTCTTCAAGGGGCTCCCCTCTACCTGGACTGCCAGACCCCTTCCTCCCTGCCGGTGCGGGTAAGGGCTGCAGGACAGGCGGCAGGGGCCCGACAGGTAGCTGTTGCTGCTGAGGCTTGGAAACAGTGGGCTGGGGGGCAGCCGGGGAGGCAGATCGGGGGTCGGGGGGATGGTTAGGGACATAAGCCAGGCTAAACGGTGTGTGGCTTGGGAAGGACGCCCCAGAGTGGCTGTCCATCTTTCTAGATAGATGGTGGGTCATGTTGAAATAAAAAACCTAAAACAAACAAGTCTACATGTTGAGTCAGCTAGCCAGGTCCCTGCCTCTCTTGCTTCTGTGGGAAAATGCCCCCCAACCCCAGGTCCCTGAGGGCTGTGGGAGCCTGAAGCTGGACGGGGCCCAGCCCAAGCCCTGTCACCATCCAGCCTCTCATCTTCTCGCCCTTGGTTTTGCTCCCTGTCCCCTTCTCCCACCCTGCTGTCTCCCCACCCATTGCTGACTCTGTCTTCCTTCTTTCTGCTTCTACCCACTAGGGGGCTCCGGGGCCTTCCCCCTGCCCCCAACTGGGGCCCCACCCCTTGCCATGTGATGGAGGCTGTGGTTTCCATTCTCCCACGAAGAGGTGTCAGGGCCCAGAGCCCCACTTAGGGCCCGAGAGGTGGGACTGTCAGAGGGAGTTTGGGCAGCCAGCCAGGGGGCTCCCTCCCCACTCTGTAGCCCCCAGAGACCCTAAAGCACAGAGAGGTGGCATTCAATGCCCTCAGAGATGAATCAGACTGAAAACACAGATGGGCTCTGAAAGATTTGGAGAACTGAAGAAGGACATCATGGTAGAGTGCTGTGGTTTTAGACCAGGCCCTGCCAACAGCTGACGACCTTGGGGAAGTCACTTCCCCTTTCTGAGCCTTAGTTGTCCTGGTAGCAAAACGAGAGGTCTGAGAGACCAGCGGTTTTCCAACCGCCTCTCCCAGAATGCTCCCGTCCTGTGGCAAGAGGTTCGATGACCCGCCTCTGGTGCCTACAGCCTATCTGTTGCGAAGATTGGACACTGGGCAAGATGGTATGTAGAGAAATGCTGTGTTTGTGCTGTGACCCCAAACGTTTGTTTCCCCGGACCAGGGGCTGTGGCTTCTCAGATATCAGAGGGAGGGAAAGTCAGGGACAGTCTCAATCCTTCCCGTGGGACTACGTCAGTAGGCAGACCCACTGGGTCCCTGTTCTTCCCCATTCCATCCTCACACCGGAAACCTCCCTCCCTCTCCTCACCCTGGCCTTCCTCCCCCTCCCGACGGTCTGACTCGGTGGGTGGGTCTACTTGTACTCAGCCTCTATCTAAACTTCTCTCTCTCTCTCTCTTTTTTTAATGTTTATTCTTTTTTTTTTTTTTTTTTTTTTTTTTGAGAGAGAGAAAGAGAGCAAGCACGAGTGGGGAAGGGGCAGAGAGAGAGGGAGACAGAGAATCCCAAGCAGCTTCCACACTGTCAGCACAGAACCCGATGTGGGGCTCGAACTCACGAACTGTGAGACCATGACCTCAACTGAAATCAAGAGTCGGCTGCTTAACTGACTGAGCCACCCAAGTGCCCCCTAAACTTCTCTTTTTGCAGGCCCCAGCCAGACCTCTTACCCCAACCCAGGACTGGGAAGAAGGAGGGAAAGAGGAGCCTCTGACAACTCGGTTTCCACTGAGGTTTGAGCCAGACAGAGCAGCCTCCTCCCCTTAGGATGGCCTCGCCCTCCAGCTCTCCCACTTTCAGGCTCCAGACATCAGACGGAGGCCAAGAAGATGGCACTGAGGCGGACAAAGGAAAGCTGGGCCTTGGGGACGGGCCGCCCCCCATGGAGTCACCATTCCAGAGCGAAGACCGGGACTGCCCCCCTCAGATCAAAGTGAACCTCAACTACCGCAAAGGAACAGGTGTCAGGTGAGGCAGCAAATGGGGGTGGGGCCCAGGGGAGCACCCTGAGTCAGACTTGATGGCGAGGGGTGGAGGGAGGTCCTCAGTCTGGCTGTGATGGCTCCTGGGCCTGACAGGCATAACCCTGCTCTGCTCTCTGGGGTTGATCCCTCTGGAACCTTCGTCATTCCTGGCCTTCTGCCTTCTGAGGTCCTGTTCTTCTTCACAGGGACATGCTCTTCCATCTGGAAGTACTCAACAGACCCTTGCAACCCCTTGTGTGTGCCCTGACCCTTGTGCATCACAGTCCCTGCGCGGATGCTAGCGTGATCCACACTCCGGTCCAAGTTGAGAGTCAGGGACATCTGGCAGTGTCCTGGGTGCTCCTGGGTTCTGCTCTTCTGCTCGAGGGCTGGACCTGTTGCCCAGGGGACTCTGGGGGGTCTTCCGCTAGGAGTCTGCTTCACTTTGAGCCTCCTGTGATCAGTACCAGTTCAGACAGTGCGAGCCCACTTTTGCCGGGGGTATATGACTTCCCAGCTTTTGGGTGCGTGGGGGGCTCGCCTGGCATCCCCCCTCAGCGTGAGGTCTGATGTGCGAGGCTGGAGAATCCTCGTGGGCGAGGCGGGACTCTGCCAGGAAAGCCCCTTCCTCTCTCCTCGTGTCTGAGACGTGGCACCAGTCTTGGCTCCCAGCCCAGAGCCCCTGTGTCGTTTGCGTCGGAAGGCCTCGGTCAGATTCAGAGCCGGGCAGGGGAGGCTGCGGGGGAGGCTTCTGGGAGCTGAGTAGTCCCCCTGGCAGGCAGAATAGGTCCCTCGATGCCCCTCAGTGCCTCAGTCTGTGCTCTTGTTGGGTTTCCTTGCCCCAAGACTGTGATGCCACCCGGTGACGGGAAGTATTTTGTACAAATGGCCCCTTCTCCCGGCCAGACTGCCCATAGGGCTCCCCAGTCAGCCACAGAGTCCTCTCGGGCATGTCGCGGCCACGTGGTCTGCTAGGCAGATGATGGTTGGTATGTCTGGCCAGGCCAGGCAGACGCGCGACTAACTGGTGTGGGGGAGGCAGGGCCTGGCTCTATCAGTCACACAGCCGCAGCTTAACACATGACTGAGCCCAACAGTCCCCTGCTCATTAGAGAGTCACTAACCCTTACTTGGTGAAGCTGGGACCTGAGGGTCCCCAGAGCTTCCAATGGTCTCCCACCTCTTTTTGTCCCTTTATATCCACTGGTGACAGTTCCAGAAGCCCCAGGGGCAGGCTGGCCTCTGTAAATAGCGTCAGGCCCAGGAGGGGAACCCCACACTCCTTCCCCTCCCTCCCCTGTCACCAGAAACTGCTAGATGCTGAGGGGCTACCAGACCTCTTCTGGGGCCTTTCCCCGAAGTGTGGTTTCTCAGTAAAACTCTGGTGAGCATCTGATAGGTTTCAGCGCTAGGCCCCTGTGTCTCTGAGAAACTTCTGTCTGCCCAGCCTAGAATTTTTCTGGGGGTTAGGAGTCAGGGTCTGGAGTGAGTTAGACGACTTCCCCCAGGTGAGCCCCAGTCCTGCGCCTGTGGCTTTGGACGAGTTACTTTACCTCTTTGTTCATCTAATGGAGAAAATAGAGATTGCTGATCCCCAGGGCTGAAGTGAGGGTTAAAGGTGCAACCACACCATTATCAGTCTCGAGATGGTTTCTGAGAGGATCGGGGGGTTCTCTTATTTATTTATTTAACTTTTTTGGGGTTTATTTATTTATTTTGAGAGAGAGGAAGTGTGTGAGCAGGGGAGGGGCAGAGAGAGAGGGAGAGAGAGGGAATCCAAGCAAGCTCTGCTGCAGAGCCTGACTCGAACTCACCAACCTATGAAATCATGACCTGAACCGTGAAATCAAGTGTTGACACTTAACCCACTGAGCCTCCCAGGCGCCCCTAGAGCTGGTTTCTGAGAGGATGAGGCCTTTTCTTGATTCTTTTGTCTAGGCCAGCAGGGCATACAGCCCCTAACAGTCTGTGGGTACCTCCTGTGGTCCCATCCCCACCTGGACTCCCGCTCAAGAGCATGACAGGTTCCTGTGCTGAAATCCTCTCTGGGATAACGAGCCTGTTTTAAGACCATCGAGCCACCTGGCAAATGATAAGCGCCTGATGCGGAAAAAAATCTGGAGTCGTGGGGATGCTGGGGACTAGTGCCCTGGACAGGCCTAGGACTCTGGGCACTTGGGGTCTCCTTGGTCTGCACTGGGCAGAGGCCCTCAGAAAGGCTCCCAGAGGGCTCTCAGGCCTGCAGGGTGCCCAGTGCTCACAGGATGCCCTGGAAGGACTCCCTGGGATGGGGGGCATTCGGGGTGGGGGGAAGCATGGTTCTTCCATAGCATCAGACACAAGTCACCTCCCCACAGCCAGCCAGACCCAAACCGCTTTGACCGTGACCGGCTCTTCAGCGTGGTGGCCCGGGGCGTCCCCGAGGATCTGGCTGGGTTAGCAGAGTACCTGTCTCGGACCAGCAAGTACCTCACCGACTCAGAGTACACAGGTAGGCCTGCCCTGTGCTGAGACTCGGCTGAATGGGTGGCCTTGACCGTGGTCAGGAGCCAAGGGGTGACTGTTCTTAGCAGCCCTCCTGCCTAAATGGCTGCAGGGAGGCCCTGCCGACAGAGCTGAGGGCAGCTCATTGAGGTCACGGCTGTGCCTCCCGCTCCCTCCCCTCCCCCTGGCTCCTGGCCAACCTCCGCCATCTTCAGCCCACTTTGGTGGCCAAATGGATACTCACTGGTTCACGGTGCATCTTTTGTCTTTTTTCTTTTCCTTTTTTCTTTTCTTTTCTTCTTTCCTTTTTTTCCTTTCCTTTTCTTTTCTTTTCCTTTCATCTTAAAATAACAGTGTCATTATTTTTGCCCCAAATCTAAACATCTTTATGGTTTGGCCTGATTAGAAAATCAGCCCCAGGGGCGCCTGGGTGGCGCAGTCGGTTAAGCGTCCGACTTCAGCCAGGTCATGATCTCGCGGTCCGGGAGTTCGAGCCCCGCGTCGGGCTCTGGGCTGATGGCTCAGAGCCTGCAGCCTGTTTCCGATTCTGTGTCTCCCTCTCTCTCTGCCCCTCCCCCGTTCATGCTCTGTCTCTCTCTGTCCCAAAAATAAATAAACGTTGAAAAAAAAATTTTTTTAAAAGAAAATCAGCCCCAATGTCAGAAAAGTAACATTTGTGCATTCCAGAAGATTCTGACCATAATGAAATGTATAAGGTGAGGTTAAAAACGTTACGACATCCTGGATCCCTGTTCATGATTTGGGATATATCTTTTCAAACCATTTAAATCTATCAGGTATATATTTACATAAGGGGTTGGGCCATATATACCCATTTGTGACAACTTACACTTGGGTGCATAGACTTCTAACTTGGTCACTTTAACAGCTGCAGAGCTTTTCTGTTGCGTACATTTACCAGGATTTAGTTAACTATTCCTCAATGGTGGCCATTTAGGTTGGTTGTCGTTTTTGACCTCAACGTACTGGGTGCCAGGCCCTCTGTGTGCCAAGAATTTTGTATGTGATTCCATTTGACCCTTATAACAGCCCTGGAACATTCCCATTTTACAGTCAGGAAAACCGAGGTCAAGAGAGGCCAAGTGACTTGCCTAAGGAGAGAGCTATCAAATGATGGAGCCGTTTAACGAATATTGCTCTGGGTGTTCTGTAGACAACTTTGCGCACAGGACAAATTACGTCCTAGAAACCTATTTTCTAGGGCAGAAATTGTAGCCATACCTGTTGGTAGTTTAATACTTGTTGGTTGGAGCCTTAATACCCTATCGCATGGCTGTGTTTCCACCGGTCGTGTGTGACAATCTTTTTTTATCCTCCCAAGGGGTGCTTTGGAGCTGGTGGGCAGCCCGGCCACTCCAGGTCTGAGCACCCTGGTGCCCCTTCCCCTCCCCTTCTCCCACAGAGGGCTCCACGGGTAAGACGTGCCTGATGAAGGCCGTGTTGAACCTTCGGGATGGGGCCAACGCCTGCATCCTGCCGTTGCTGCAGATTGACCGGGACTCTGGCAATCCCCAGCCCCTGGTCAATGCCCAGTGCACGGATGAGTACTACCGAGGCCACAGTGCCCTGCATATTGCCATCGAGAAGAGGAGCCTGCAGTGTGTGAAGCTCTTGGTGGAGAATGGGGCCGATGTGCATGCCCGGGCCTGTGGCCACTTCTTCCAGAAGAAGAGCCAGGGGACTTGCTTCTACTTCGGTGAGGAGCCTTTCTTGGGTAAACTGAGGTGCAGAGGGGACGAGGTTGCACGGTAAATGTGTGGCAGAGCTGACCCTTAAACTCAGATCTGTCTGACCCCCAAGGGCTTGTGCTTCTAGTCACCGGGCTGCCTGCAAAAGCAGTTTGTCTTAGGAGATGTTTTAGCCTTGTCTGGCCAAGGAAGCTCGTCACACATCCGCTCCCAGACCAGGACAGGGGAATGGGCTGGTGGAACCGGTGTGGGGGAAAGTCTAAAGGGGTGTCGATGCCAGGTGGCAGTGGGGCTGGGCTCTGGTGAAGAAAAGAGAAGGAGGCAAGGAGATGGGAACCTTGGTTGGCTGACCTCTGTTCTGAGCCCTTAGATGGTAAAAAGCTTCCATCACCTCTCCCTGGGGTCAAGAGCTGGACAGAAATGACTTTACCAGGGCTCGTAGGAAAAGGCACAGCCGCCCTAAATGGGGCTTGGGACCATCTTCCCTCTCAGCACAGGCCCGGGCAGACCTGGGGTCCCGAGCCCTGACTCTCTTAAAGGCTTTCTGTCCTGGGAATGTGAGGCATAGTCAGGTGGAAGCTGGGAGGCCTGAGGCTCAAGCTGTCCCTCTTGACCCCCAGGCGAGCTGCCCCTCTCTCTGGCCGCGTGCACCGGGCAGTGGGATGTGGTGACCTACCTCCTGGAGAACCAGCATCAGCCTGCCAGCCTGCAGGCGGCCGACTCACTGGGCAACACTGCCCTGCACGCCTTGGTGATGATCGCAGATAACTCGGCCGAGAACAGTGCGCTGGTGATCCGCATGTACGATGGGCTTCTCCGAGCCGGCGCCCGCCTCTGCCCCACAGTGCAGCTCGAAGACATCCCCAACCTGCAGGGCCTCACACCCCTGAAGCTGGCCGCCAAGGAGGGCAAAATCGAGGTGAGTGCCTGGCCCCCACCTTTCTAGGAAGCAACAGGATCCCCTTTGATTTTTCTGCAGAAAGAGCCTGGAGCAACATTCTAGATCATTGGTCTCTTTGTTTTTTTTTTTTTTTTTTTAAGCTTCTTTATTTTGAAAGAGAGAGAGAGAGAGAGAGAGAGAGAGAGAGAGAGAGAGAGAGAATCTTAAGCAGTCTCCATGCTCAGCATGGAGCCCAACTTGGAGCTGATTCCATGACCCTGGGATCATGACCTGAGCTGAATTCAAGAGTCGGCTGCTCAACCAACTGAGCCACTTAAGCACCCCCCCCCCCGTTTTTTTAAAGTAATCTTTACACCCAAGTTGGGGCTTGAACTCACAATCCCGAGATCACGAGTCACATGCTCCACCAACTGAGCCAGCCAGGCACCCCAAAACAAACTGCTTCTTAACCTGTTCGAGTTAGGGATACTTTCTAGTCTGGTGGAAGCTCTGAGCTCTGACCACAGAAGGGTACACACCTGTGTAGCCGGGAACCTCTGGTCTCGAGGGGCCTCAAGGACCTCTGGGCTGGGGTCCCTCTGCCATGTAGGGGCTCCAAGGAAGAGACCTCAGGGCAGAAGTGGGGAAGGAAGAGCCAGGTTCACTGGCAGGTCTGAACATAGGTGAGCCGATGAGAATATTTACACTGTGGCTGAGCATGTGAGGATGTGTGAGAAGAGTTTATATACACAAGGATCTGTGTGTACGGGCTGTGTGCGTGTATCTGTTTTTTTTTTTTTAATTAAAAAAATTTTTATATTTTTCTAGCATTTATTTCTTTTTGAGAGATAGAGCAAGATAGAGCACAACCTGGGGAGGGGCAGAGAGAGGGGGGGGACACAGAATCTGAAGCAGGCTCCAGGCTCTGAGCTGTCAGCACAGAGCCCGATGCAGGGCTCGAACCCACAGACCGTGAGATCATGATCTGAGCTGAAGTCAGATGCTTAACTGAATGAGTCACCCAAGTGTTCCTAAAATTTTTTTCTTAGTGTTTATTTATTTTTGAGAGAAAGAGAGAGAGAGACAGAGCATGAGCTGGGGAGGGGCAGAAAGAGAGGGAGACATAAAATCCAAAGCAGGCTCCAGGCTCCAAACTGTCAGCACAGAGCCTGATGCCGGGCTTGAACCCACAAACCGCAAGACTATGACCTAAGCCGTAGTCAGCCACTTAACTGACTGAGCCACTCAGGCTCCCCTAAGTTTATTTATTTTGAGAGAGAGAGTGCACAAGCGGAGTAGGGACAGAGAGAGAGGGGAGAGAGAGAATCCCAAGCAGGCTATACGCTGTCAATGCAGAGCCCAATGCAGGGCTTGAACTCACGAACCATGAGATCATGACCTGAGCTGAAACCAAGAGCCGGAAGTTTACCCGACTGAGCCACTCAGGCACCCCTGCGGGTGTCTGCTTGTAGCTTTGTAGATGGTGGGCAGGTCTGCAGGGTACCGACTAGCTCCCAGCCTCCTGGTCAGTGCTGGGAGGTGGCCACACAGGCCAAGATCATGTGCCTCACCCTGCAGATTTTCAGACACATCCTGCAGCGGGAGTTCTCAGGGCCGTGGCAGCCACTTTCCCGGAAGTTTACCGAGTGGTGCTATGGGCCTGTCCGGGTGTCGCTGTATGACCTGGCCTCTGTGGACAGCTGGGAGGAGAACTCAGTGCTGGAGATCATCGCCTTTCATTGCAGAAGCCCGGTGAGCCCACTGGGGCCCAGGGAGGGGTGCAAAGGGGGCCTGGCAGAGCTCCATACTTCAGGGCTGCCTCCTGGACGTGCCCTGTGACTGTGCCAGTGGGGATGTGGCTGCATGCCCCGACCCCAGCCTCTGGGCCCATGCTCATTCCACACACACCGGTCCCACGCCCATGGGGAGCATGCGGGGGTCCCGGTGGCCACCTGCTCTGGACTGGAGGATGAGGCGCTCCGCCAGCCCATAGCCATGAGGGTTGGGTAGAGGCCGGTGGGGCAGGGTCATTTGGGGCTCCCCCCCCCCCATTTCCCTCAGCCCTCATGTTGAGCCTGACATGAGCAGACCCCTGTATGTACCAGCTCTCACACTCCCACCCCAGCACCGACACCGGATGGTGGTTTTGGAGCCGCTGAACAAACTGCTACAGGCGAAATGGGATCTGCTAATCCCCAGATTCTTCTTCAACTTCCTGTGTTACTTGATGTACATGTTCCTTTTCACTGCTGTTGCCTACCACCAGCCTGCCCTGGAGAAGGTACAGCAGGTGGGGGGCGGGGGGGGGAGGGGATGGGGCGCATGCTGGGGGAGGGAGGCCTCCTGGGACCAGCCTTGGAAGAAGATAGGGCAGGGATTGCCAACCCCCACCTGCACCTGATAACACTGTGACGCACCCAAGCTCTCGTGCAGCTAGTGGGTACCGAAGCCAGCACCGCAGAGATGATAACCACGCTACTAATACGGGCTGGGTGCTCACCATAGGTGACAAAGTATTTCCAGGGAGTGACAGGTGTTAGCTTATTTAATTAATGCTTAGAGCAGCCCTCTGAGAACGATGAACTGTTAGCATCCCCGGTTTACAGTTGACGGGAGGGACGCACAGAGAGGTTAAGTGGCTTATCCAGGCTCATGCAGGCTGTCAGTGGGGGAGATGGGATCTGAACCCACCGTCATAACCACTATACAGCGTGCCTCTACAACAGGCTAGAATCTGGGGTTGGGGGGGGCCTGCCCGGGAGCCCATGTTCCCTGTGCTGCTCTGCGTGGCTTCTCCAACAGCTCATGCTCAGAATGGGCCCTCAGTGAGGAGCGTCACTGTTGGGAGGGGACTCGGGTCCCAGGTCCTACCAGAGTGTCTCTTTCGCAGGCCTTCCTCTCCCTGAAAGTGACGACTGGAGGCTCCATGTTGCTGCTGGGCCACATCCTGATCCTGCTTGGGGGGGTCTACCTCCTCGTGGGCCAGGTGAGGGCTCCTCCCATCCCCCCTCCGCACCCCATGACCCCAGCACTCCGTGTGGCTCCCAGAAACAAACTAGAATTCCCCTAGGAGGAGACTTAGACTGAGTTAACCACAATCCCTTCATTTCCGGGAAACTGTCCCATCACTACCAGCCTCGGGGCAGCTGAGGGCCTTGGGTTCTGGGGCCAGTATCTCCCTGCTGTGCTTTCTGGGGTTTCTGAGGGGCAGCAAATGACTCCCATGATTCCTCGCCACGCCGGCTCTGCTCCCTGGAAAGTGGAGCTGGAAGCCCCCCACCCCCAGGTCCCTTGGCCGGGCTGGGACATTCCTCCTGGGGGTGGGGGGGAGCACAGACAGGCTGGAGCAGGTGCGCGCAGCCCGACTCCCCCGGTGGCTCCTTTTCAGGTGAAAGTGCAGGAGACAGGCTGGACACTGTGCCATGGAGCCTGTCTCAGAGTGGGTGGGACTTTGGTACCAGATCCAGGTTGGCTGGAGTACAGGAGGGTCCCCGTGGGGCCAGGGTGAGGAGAGGCAAAGGAGCTCTTCCCCTGGGCCTGAGTAGTGAGAGTGCGTTCTTCGCCTGGGTCCACAGGGAGCGAGGAGGCGCCTGGCGTTGTCCGGGTGTCTGTGGGTGGCCTCACTTTTTGGAAACAGGCTTCACAGCTTTCTCAGCTAGCATGAGCCCCCGTCCCCACCCCACAAAAGTCCAAGATGCTGTTTGAGCCTGTGAGGTGGTCCTGGCCAGACTTCCGCAAAGCCAGGCCGGCAGGCAGGGGACGCAGTGGGGAGCCCAGCAGGGCTGCTCTGTGGCCTGGACAGCAAATTTCTGCCCCACCGCCTGCTCCTCTCCTTACCCCCTCCTCCCCCCCCCCCCCGCCCCCCACAGCTGTGGTACTTCTGGAGACGCCGTCTGTTCATCTGGATCTCGTTCCTGGACAGCTACTTTGAAATCCTCTTGTACGTGGGGCCTCACTCCCTTCCCCTGTCTCAGCCCCGGGGAGCGGCTGGTGTGGCAGCAGGCGCCAGGCCGGCTGGAGAGGCGAGGACAGGAGCCGGGGAGCGCCTGGGGCCTGGACCAAAGTGCAGGCTGTCTGGCCTGGGGCTCCTTGTGCTCGTGATAGTTACGTGCCCTGAGCGCTACGTGCCAGCGGAGCCTGAACCCTTTACATGTTGTGGCTCACTGAATCTGCACAAATGCCCCATGAGTCAGGTGCTGTTCCTAGTACCCCCGTTTTACAGGGGAGGGACCTGAGGCCCACAGGGATTAAATGACCCCTGACTGGGTCCAGTCCCAGGCAGATGGAGGACTTCTCATCCATCTAGATGGATGGATGGTGGGAGAGGCAGGGGTGGTCGGTGCCGGCCAGTGGGGGCAAGCGGGGGCGGAGGGAGCTCGCCAGGTGGCCTGCAAGCTGACCCGAACTCTGTTCCCACGCAGCCTGATTCAGGCCCTGCTCACGGTGGTGTCCCAGGTGCTGCGTTTCCTGGCCGTCGAGTGGTACCTGCCCCTGCTGGTGTCCTCGCTGGTGCTGGGCTGGCTGAACCTACTTTACTACACACGTGGCTTGCAACACACGGGCATCTACAGTGTCATGATCCAGAAGGTGAGAGACGGGGCGCGGTGACCAGGCAAAGCTGGACACCGTGCCGACAGGACCCTCTTGGCCTCAGCAGGCAGGTGCCCTCCTCCTGGGCAGAGGAGAACACGAGCATGTCTGCCTGTGCATCACAAACCCAAGTTCAAGCACGAGCATGAGTACCAGCGTGCACACACCTGCCCTCCGCGGTCCGCGCTCTGCATGGGTTTGAGCAAACACAAGGATATCTGTGTGTTTGCTAGTGCATCCTTGCACACCGAAGGAGCAGAGACGATGCACATGAGCTCATCCATGTGCCTGTGTCCCGGGACACCTGGGCATATGGATGTGTCTGCGTTCATTTATTTATTCAACAGAAGTTGAGGTGTGGGCCAGGTCCCGTTCTAAGTGTTGGAATATGCTCCTTTGTTTGCTGACAAAACAGACGAGTCCTCAACTCTCCTGCATCTGACATTCTGGTGGGGGAAATGGAAGCACTAAGAGAAATAGATGAGAACATTACAGGTTGCTGAATGCTATGGAGGAAGTACATAGGCCGATGCCTTGGGGAATGACTGGGGCAGCGGGTGCTTTAGATGGGATGGTCTGGGAGACCTCTCTGAAGAGGTGACGGATGAGACCAGAAAAATGACTTAGCCAGCGCAGACTCAGAGAAGCAGCATCGGAGGCAAAGGCCAGGAGCCAGGACAAGCTTGGAGCACTTGGGACAGAGCAAGGAGGCTGGGGAGAGTGAGTGGAGGGAGGAAGTTGGGGATTCGTCGTCCATGGGGAGGGGTCTGGAAGCCCCAGAGGTTTAAAAAAACGTTTTTAATTGTGGCAAAATATACATTACAAAATGTACTATCTTAATAATTTATTTTTATTTTTGAGAGTGCACGTGCATGAGCACAAGTGGAGGAGGGGCAGAGAAGAGGGAGACAGAGAATCTCAAGCAGTTCCCACACTCAGCATGGACCCCGATGCTGGGCTCGATCTCACCAACCACGAGATCATGACCTGAGCCAAAACCAAGAGTCGGGGGCTTAAGCCTCCCCCATCCTAATCATTTTTAAGTGTACTGTTTAGTGATATTAAATACCCTCATAATATTATCCTACCTTTAGGGGGACAGTATTAAGTATCATCCATCTACAGAGTTGAAACTCTGTCCCCCTATTCAACATGAACTCCCCACTCCCCTCCCTGAGCCCCTAGCAACATCATTCTTTTTTTCTTTTTTTTAATGCTTATTCATTTTTTGACAGAGAGAGAGAGAGAGAGAGAGAGTCAGAGCATGATTGGGGGAGGGGCAAAGAGAGAAGGAGACAGAATCCAAAGCAGGCTCCAGGCTCCAAGCTGTCAGCACAGAGCCCGCCGTGGGGCTCGAACCCATGAACTGTGAGATCACGACCTGAGACAAAGTCGGATGCTTAAACCAACTGAGCCACCCAGGCGCCCCAACACCATTCTTCCTTCTGTCCCTATGAATTTGACTCCTCTAGGTAGCTCATAGAAGTGCGATCCTACGGTTTGTGTCCTCTTAGGACTGGCTAGGCTCAGTCAACACAGTGTCCTCCCGGTTCATCCATGTTGTAGCGCGTCTCAGAATCTCATTCCTTTTTAAGACGGAGTAACATTTCACCGTGTGTATATACCCCATTTTGTTTATCCCTTTATGCATCAGTGGATGCTTGCGTTGGTTATTGTGAGTAACACTGCTGTGAACAGGGGTGTGCAAGTACCTGTTTGGGTCTCTGCTTTCAGTTCTTTTAGGTCTATTGCCCAGACGTGGAATTTCTGGATCCTAGGGTAATTCTGTGCTTCATGTTTTCACCCTGGATGGTTGTAAGCAAGAAAGTGATGTTAAAAGACCAGTCTGTTCAGTGTGGGATGCACAGATTTGTGTGTGTGTGTGTGTGTGTGTGTGTGTGTGTGTGTGTGTGCATGGTGTGTACAAGGGAACCCATGCTCAGGGCGGAGGCAGGGGTTGTAGGTCATGCCCAATGGGCCGGCCACCCACTCCGGCTCCTGGGTGTGTGTGTTCTAGGTCATCCTGCGGGACCTACTCCGCTTCCTGCTGGTCTACTTAGTCTTCCTTTTCGGCTTCGCTGTAGGTAAGGGCTCCCCACTCTGGCCCCTGCCTCTTCCTTGCCCGCTCTGTACACCCTCGAGGCTGCCCCCTGGTCTCCCCAGGCTGAGGATCCCCCTTTCTCCCTCCTGCAGCCCTGGTGAGCTTGAGCCGGGAAGCCCTGGACTCCAGGGTCCCCACGGGCCCCAATGTCACGGAGGCAGCACAGCCTGGGGTGGGACGGGAGGACGAGGGGGGCAGCTCGTCCCCATACGGTGGCATCCTGGACGCCTCCTTGGAGCTCTTCAAGTTCACCATCGGCATGGGGGAGCTGGCCTTCCAAGACCAGCTGCGTTTCCGCGGCGTCGTGCTGTTGCTGCTGCTGGCATACGTGCTGCTCACCTACATCCTGCTGCTCAACATGCTCATCGCCCTCATGAGCGAGACCGTCAACAGTGTCGCCACCGACAGCTGGAGTATCTGGAAGCTGCAGGTACTGCAGAGCGACGGTGGGGGGGGGCGCTCCCCTCCCTTTCCCCAAGTTCTGGGCCCGGTGAGGAGTGTGCAGGACCCAGCTGAGCTGGGCCCCCTGATCCATTCCTTCCTTCCTAGGGCTGTTGTGGGGATCAAATGGGCTCATAGATCTAAAGCCCTGGGGACGGTGCCTGGCACGTAGTAGTTGCTGAAAGGGTTAACGGTTAACATTGTCAAGTATCTCTTGAGTGTCTACCACGAGCTAAGCTTAGTTCTCAGTTCTTTGGGGCGGAACACACAGCAGAGAACAAGATCGCGTCCTTGCCCTCATGCAGTTCCCGTCCTGTGTTTATCAAACAGTCAATGGGGTTGTTTTAGTGGGTGAGGCAGGCGGGACGTGCAATCCTGGGCCCCAGCAGAGGGCCCTATAGCTGGGGGCTGATATGACATCTGCCTTCCATGGAAGAAGCAATAGCTGCTTCTTGACTGGAGGGTTGAGGGTGGGCAGTTGGTGCTCAGAAAGCTTTGCCCCGAACGCTGGACTCCCACTGATTCACTGCTGACCTTGGGCGAGCCCCCTATCTTCTCCGAGCCGTGCCCTCATGGGCAAAGTTCTGTGCCCCACCTAATTCACTTGTGTGCCGGCGGGCAGGCACACGTGTGGGTAGAGCAAATCAAATTCCAACACCCGTCCGCCTGCAAGCGGGGAAACGGAGATTCAGAGGGGTTGGGGGCCTGACATCACACAGGTAATCAGACACGGGAGCTGGATTCAAACCCACATGCTTAGCAGACTTCGGGTTCTACAAAGTGCTGTGGAGTACCCTCCTGGCTACCGTCTGATGTGTCCTTTGTCCCCAGAAAGCCATCTCTGTCCTGGAGATGGAGAATGGCTACTGGTGGTGCAGAAGGAAGAAGCGGCGGGCAGGCGTGAAGCTGACCGTTGGCACCAGGCCAGATGGCAGCCCTGATGAGCGCTGGTGCTTCCGGTGAGTGAGGGAGGCAGGGGAGGGGGGCCCGGGGGCCTTGCTGACCCAGCGATCCCTGGAGACTGCACACCACAGGTCGGCCTGACTCTCGCAAAAGCCGGGGGGCAGCCACCAGGAGTCAGGTCTGGTGGGAAAGGCAGGGCCCAGGAGCACCAGGGGACTCCGCCCTGGACAGGCGAGGTCAGGGATGCCGGTCTGCCATCCCAGCCGGTCCTGTCCCTTCCCTCCCCTGACCTGCTCCTTCTGGCCTGAAATGGGGCAACACTCAGGAGGCCAAGAAGCCAGAGGGACCCTCAGGTTCCAGCACACTAGCCTTGCCCGGGCTGGTCTGCTCTGCCCTCCTAACTCCCCCAGCCCGACCACAGAGGCTACGACCCTTCCACAGAAAACAAAGTCTGCGGTGGGAGAGGGGAGGGTCTTGGGCATGCGGAGCGGCCACAAAAGGGCTCCAGAACCCAGGAACACAAAGACACACAGGATCTAAACTCTCCTCTGGGTATTCAGGGCAACCCAGGTGACTGTGAACGGCCTGAAGGGACAGATGCCCGTTTCCGCCAACGCAGACACGTGGCCCAGGGGCAGCGGGGTGGTGGCCACCCGGACGGGGCCAGGGTGGGATGACGGGTGGCCCAGTGTCCAGCGAGAAGGGCGGAGAAACCCCATTCTCCTGACCGTCCCCGTGTCTACCTGGGCCCCGCTCCCGGGGCAAAGCAAGCTGCACAGGTGGCCTCCCAGGGCCTCAGGGCTGCTCTGTTGTCCTCAGGGTGGAGGAAGTGAACTGGGCTGCGTGGGAACAGACGCTGCCAACGGTGTGTGAGGAGCCAGCAGGGCCTGGTGTCCCTGGTGAGTAGCCATGGACCAGAGCCCCTGCTCTGGAGAGAGAGATGTCCGTGTGTGTGTGTGTGTGTGTGTGTGTGTGTGTGTGTGTGTGTGTATGTGTGTGTGCGCGCGTGCGCGCGCGCATCTCTGTCTGTTCAGCCACACAGCCACGGACAGTCTGGGGCAGGACCACCTCCATGGCCACTTCCCAGTCCCCTTAAAACCCTTCCCTCCTTTTCTCCCCAGCCCCACCTCCTCACCGGCCTGTTTTCAGGGGGTCAGCCGGGAGACACTCTGAGGATGTTTGCCTGCCCTCACCTCCCCGTGCCCTCCTCTTGGCCGGGTCCACTCAGCTGCACCCTTCCAGGCCTGGGCTGCGCCTGGGGGAACGAGTTAGAGAGCCCCCCCTCCCACCTATCCCACAGCTCAGGGGGCATCTCTCTGAGCCCCCACTGGCTCTGCCCCGTCTACAGGGCCAGCCTTGCTGCTACCCAAGCCCCCGGCCCCCACCCCTCTGAGGAGAAGCCACTTCCTAGGCCTTTCCCCCCAGTCACGGCCTGCGTCCTGTCCGTTCAAGTGTGTGGAGGCCCCTCCTGTCTCCACCCTGCTGCCTGCCACCAAGACCGGCCTTGGCTCCTTCCTCTCATCTGGAGACCCGTTTCGAGGATTAGCTGTCTCCACAGCATGCCCTTTCTGGAATCTTCAGTAGCTCCCACTTGGGTCTGCCGTTGGCTCTCCTCTTTCTTGTTCTCTTTCCAGCAGACTCCACTTGTCTGTGACTGTGGTGCGCGACCCCTCCCCACAACAGCGCCTGCGTCACCTCTGACCCCTGGGTAGGGACACTCCTCCAGCCTCTGGTTTCCCAGGCTCCTGGGGCCCTGACCGTGGCCTCACAAACCGATAGATTTCCTGCTTGCCCTCTTTGCGTGCCTCCCTTCCTCTGAGTCCTGCCACCCTATCACCTCGAGGCCGAGACTCTGAAAGTCACCTTGCCCTTCATCTTGCCCCAAGTATCCCATACCCACTGCCGGCTGGGACTTCCAACTGGACATCCCCAACAGGGACGGCCTTGGGTTGGCCCTTCCGGGTAATGCGTGTGCCAGCCCTCCCTCTCCTCACCTGGGCAGGAGGCCTGGACACCTGCTCAGTGTCCCTCTCAGCCTGGTGCTGAGTATTATCAGGACCTCTCAGGCAGCCACTCACTCCTCTGCCCCCAGCCCTCCTGTCTTCAGCTTCTGCACCACTGCAAGGCTCCGTCTGCACCCTCTCCTTTAGGCAAGTCTTCCTGCTCCAGGCTTAGCCCCCAGTGCAGTCAAAAACTACACAAGGCCCACCCGGTACGCCTCTCACTGTCTGGAAGGCCTCACCCCCCAGGGGGAAGACACATCGCTGAAGTCCAGCCCGTTTCCCACACCTCTGTCCCTCCATGTGACAGCCAGTCCCCCCACACTGCTCCCTGTTCTCTCTGTCCAAGTGTCATTCCTGCCCCTTATGGGTGTCCAAATCTGCCTTACTTACAGGTTGAGTCTCTCTTCCCTCCCCTGAGCTCCCTGGACACCTACTTCTCACTTCCCTCCGGTTCTTCTTCCCGCCAGGTGTTCCAGATTCTAACACAAAAGGCTGTCACCTCCAGGGACTTTAAGCTCCTGGGAGGAAGCCCCTGACAGGCACAAAGCAGGGGTTCAGTAAATGCCCGCAGGAGGGGGTACATAGGGAGAAGGGTTGCTGGCGACTTTGGGATCACCTGCTGCACACAGAGCGTGTGGATGGGGTTTCATGGCTGTGGCCTCCTCCTGCTTCCCTGGCGCCTGCCTCCTGGGGACACAGCCCCAGGCCCAAGCCACAGGGCTCTTCATCCTTTTACAGGCACCGTGAAGAAGCCTGTCCTGGCCGTCCAACTGGAGGAGGACACCGCCTCAGAGGATGACCACCTGCCCCTCCAGCTCCTGGAGTCCTGCTGATGTCCTGCCCAGATTCAGGACAGAGCCAGGGAATCTCTCCAGCCCTACCTGCTGGCTCTGGGGCTCCAGGGAACTTCGCTGGCAAATATAAATAAATATTTTCTCATGACTAACTCTCCTGGAAGCATTATTTAAGCAGAGTTAATGGGCCCTCGGGCTGACTGACATCTGCATGTCTCTGTGAGCGTTTCTCTGTCTAGGACTGGGTTACTGTTGCCCTCAACCCAGGCACAGGAGACCCTCACCTGCTGGCCCCCAGCCTCGGGGCTGTCTTTTCCTGAGTGCCATACCTGCTGTCGTGACAGATGTGTGGTGGGGGACGCCGGCAACACAGCCACCTTTTGTCCTTTCCCACAGCTTCCAGCCACATCCAAGATCTCTCTCAAAGCCTTTGAGCTCCTTGGTTTCCTTCAGGCTCTGGATTATTGGTTTCCCTCCCTGCTGGGCTACCTGCTCAGTTCCTACCCCTCCAAGCTGTTCTGCAAGGCCGCCAGAGGGGACTTCCTAAGAGGGAAGAGAAACAGGTTACCCATGTGCTCTGAAGGCTTAAAAGGCTCCCCCAGTGCCCACAGGACACCCTAGCTGGCATCCTCAGTCCTCCAGGGTTTTGCCCAAGTATTTCCAGACACCCCTTCCCCTATACCCCTGCTGTCCTCCATGTTGTCCTTAGCACTTTTACTGTATTCTTCAGGTAGACTGATGGGCCTGTGTATTTGACCCCACCCCCACCCCCCACTTGGCTCTTGCTGGAAGCCCCCCACCCCACCCAAATCCTTAAGACCAGCCCACAAGTTGTCTCGCTATAGCTTCCCCAATTTTCTCCAGTCCAAATGAATTGCTCTTCCTTGGTGTCCTAAGTGCTTATAAAACGCGTACGAATTGAGTGTTTTTTAAGTGGGGAAGACCTAAGGGTGTGCAAATGCTGAAAGGAAAGCATTGGCGGAGAGGGAGAGGTTTACATTGCTGGTGAGATCGAAGAACAGGCACAGGAGAAAAGAGGATGGAAGCGGATCCAGATAAGACGTCTGCTTGCTCCTTAGGGGTCATTCTCAAGAGTGATGAGAGCTGTCAGCAAGAAGGGATTTTGAGAGACTCCGTGGATGTTTTGAAATAGCTGCGGGAAGAGAGCAAACTGGCAGCGCTTCTTAGAGTCAGAAGCACTACTATTTGTGAATGCTTGCTGTTTCAGGTGTGATATCTCATGTGATCCTCAGAGTAACCTCTGCGGTGCCGGTATCTTCACGACCAGAGGAGCAACAGAAGCTCAGGGTGGCTGAGTGATTCGCACAAAACCACGCAGCTAACAAGCGCCTGGGGCCCCAACGCCTCGTTGCTACCGTGTTTCAGCCCCCACGCATGCGCCCTGGAGCACTCCTGGCACCGCGAGTCACATTATCCTGGGCCATGGAAGAGACCATGGGCTCTAAAGGAGGGGGGTGGCCTGGGGTGGTGGGGCGGAGTCTGCATCGTTAAATGGGCTGGAAGTTCCCGTGAGTCTTTGCCAGCATTACCCGCCCTCTTGTTAAGAATGGAATATTCCGACTCCTTAAAGGTAAGGCACGCAGCTAAAGCGACCTTTCCTTTAGAGTCGCTATGGAGGTAAGCGAGTTTTGTAATTTAAATTAGTAGCTGGCGGCAAGGGCAAATGAGCTAGAAGCTTCCTAGTTTCTGCAAAAAAGGTTTCGGGAGGCTCATGTGGGGAGTGGAGGGCGGCTCGGGCTTCGTGGCGGGCGCGTCAGTGGGGGGAGAGTCGGCGCAGGGCCGCGGGGGACCGAGGCTCAAGGGCCGCGTGCCTGTTTATCCCTTAGGGCTGCTGCAGTCCCAGGAACCTGAGGTCCCCGAAGGCCGGGCCCCCGCTCCCCGGACCCGCCGTGGGGAGCGCGCCAACCCCGGAGAAGTGGGTAAGTGTGGGTCGGCCTGCACGTGAGCGCGCTTCGCGGGTGAGGTTGGTAATGGGGGCCACGAGGAGAACTTGGCCGACTGTCCCGATGATAATGAGATTAGGAAGTGCAGTCAGAATCGACAACTGACGGTTTTTATGCCTGTCTGACCGCAGTCGCTGAAACCTCGACAGGGTGATTGAACATCACCGCCAGAACTTGGCCCTTAACACGCGTCGCCCTCCATGTGCCAGCCGGGAGCAGGATCCCTCCCTAAGGTAGGACCTAGTCCGGGCGGGGTTGGAGCTATAATTTGGAACGTTTTGGTTGCTCAAATGCAGTGGAATTGGCTGATAGTTTACAGTTGTAAGGTTTGTGCATTGGACACCGCACCATCACAATGTGTTGCTGAGAACAGCCAATGGCCTGGTTGTTTGTGGAGCAATTACGGCTTGTTTCCAGGTGGTGTCCAGGTTTCTGGAGCGGTACTGGGGAGTGGAGAGGTGCTTGACTGCTCTGATGAAATCACTTATAGGAAGTGCCGTCAGAAGCGATAACTGACGATAACAGTTCCTGGCTGACTGCAGTCAACAAGTCCTCCCCAGCTGCCGGTGTCCTGGCGGATCTTGGTTTGAGCAGTGACCTTTATTTTCTGTATTCACCCAGGTTGCCAGTTAGCGTCCGATCGTAGCAGCTGAAGATTTCGAGTGATGAGTGGCCTGCCTTGAGGTGAGTTTTGATCTCTGGAGAAGTTTAGTGGTTGAGTGAGCCTCCCTGTTACATTAGGTGAAGTTCCCGTTAGATAGTGGGAATTTTATCTGGTTAACCTAATCCCTTGTATCCGTGTAGCCCTTGACCTTTACTGGCAACATCTCTGAGATCCTGATTATGGTTCATAGTGGTCGTGGAGCTGAGTGCAGAGGAAACCCATGAGTTTCCTTTTCATCTCACTGCTGTATAATCCTGAGCAAATCGCCTATTTGCTGAGATTGTTTTCCTCGTCCTTTAAAATGGCAGCTTTAGGGGCGCCTGGGTGGCGCAGTCGGTTAAGCGTCCGACTTCAGCCAGGTCACGATCTCGCGGTCCGTGAGTTCGAGCCCCGCGTCGGGCTCTGGGCTGATGGCTCAGAGCCTGGAGCCTGTTTCCGATTCTGTGTCTCCCTCTCTCTCTGCCCCTCCCCCGTTCATGCTCTGTCTCTCTCTGTCCCAAAAATAAATAAAAACGTTGAAAAAAAAATAAAAATAAAAAAATAAAATGGCAGCTTTAGGTCTGGGATCTTTAAAATGATGTGACTAGGGGCACCTGGGTGGCTCAGTCATTTAAACACCTGACTTGGCCTCAGGTCATGATCTCGCAGTTCATGAGTTCCAGCCCTGCATTGGGCTCTGTGCTGACAGGTCAGAACCTAGAGCCTGCTTCAGATTCTGTCTCCCTCTTTCTGCCCCTCCCCTGCCCGTGCTTGCCTCTCTATCTTTAAAACTAAGTATTTTTAAAAACTGATGTGACTTAAGTGGAGGTTACGATATCCAAAGAAGCCACTTAAAACTTCTAGACTTCTGTGGTTTAATTTACAAAAAAGCATCTCCAGAACGTTTCCAAGAACTATTACGATGAACTTGGGAGCTGTAGTTGAGGCTATCCTGATAAGGCCTACCTGTGTTGTCTTTGGTGTCTGCTGCCTGTCTAGGGGTGCCTGAATTGCCCCAGGTTTTGAGTGCTGGGTTGTCGAAAGTCAGCGATCAGCAGTGTGGAGTTGAAGCCGGTGGTGCCACAGCTCAGCCCAAGTAGAGGTAAGCTTTTGTCTGGACAAGGGCCCCCTCCCCCTCCTTGGTAGAATGAATAAGCTAATTTTGTGTAAACTGATACGCAGAAAAAGGATATCAAATGATGAAATCGCCTAAAAATAGCTGGAATTACCGGCAGATTGTGTAGTGTTGAACCTGTGGTTTTCTGAAGATATCTGTGTATGCTATGAATAACCGTTGGTCGGAGTAGAGAGTGAGACTGATACTTAGTGTCTTTGCAGGCTATCTTCCAGAGAATGGTCAGCCATGCGAGGACCAGTGACCACCATCAGCTTGGACTGAAAACCTAGACTTCAGTAGTTGGTGTGGAAACAGTACTTACCTGAGGCTGAGATTCAGAGCCCATTCCGTTACCAGCAGTAGAACCAACAAATGTGTTTTTGTCACTGTTGGTTTTCTAGTGTTACAAAGATATTTCTAGTTCTCCCTTGCCCAAAGAGCTTTCTGCACTTTTTAATTTTGTATAAATTCTGTTGGGTGAGGGTCTGAGTTCTTAAGCTTAAAGCTTATTTCTTCCTGAAATTAGCATTTCCATGCAATTACAATAAACCAGTACTACAATAAAGGATGGTTTTTAGTATTGATTCTTAAAAATGTATTTGGAGAAAAGTTTGATTACTGCTGTTAGATATGAGCAGTCCAGGTATTGGCATTTGTCAACATCTGTATGGTCCGGTCTAAGCTGTTCTCCTGTAACAACTTCAGACTTTAAGGGTGAAAGTTCCAAAGCATTTAAGGCATCCACACCTTTGATTCCAGTCTGTTGCCCTTGGGCCACGTCCTTTTGCATAGCCTCCACCTCCTGAAACTATGCTTAGTCCAACCTTTGAGCAGTGGCAGGCAAGGTGCCATAGTCTGGTTCTTGACCTAGCCCCCATCTTGCTGCCTTCCTGAGTTGGAATCTTGCCTGTCAACGAGGCTGGAGGCCTGTCAGGCCGTGCTTCCCAGCTGTCTGCCATTTGCCTGAGCAGTCTGGTCACCATCTATGGGCTTTTTTTCAGCTTAAAAGGGCTGTTTTCCAATCTCCCTGGACTTGAAGTCTATGCCTTGGGTCTAGGCTTATTGTGCCTAGAAGGCTTGTAGGCCTTGAGTAAGAAGAGAGGGTGAAAAAAACCTTTGCTTCCTCTCCTTGGGAACCTCTACTTTTGGGAGGCAGTAGATCCGCCAAGAGTTTGAAGTTTAATCCCATGGTCTTGGGTTTTTTTAAGGAGCCCTCCATAGGAGGTTTTGGGAGTGTGCTCCATATCACTAATTACTTTGGGGACTTTGAGAAATTCTGAGAAAGACCCTTAAGATCCTTTTAAAGGGGCAGTACTCTGGCTTGCACACTAGCAACACTGAACCCTAGTGAAGGGCTGGTAGACTTTGGCTTGGGGCAGGGGTTATGGTGTAGGGTTTCTGGGTGGGCCTTTTTATGCATGCCGGTATTTGTAGGCATTCTGGGATGCTCTTGAAGGGTATGGGGTGGCTGGGCCTGGGCTGGGGCCCTGGAATCCCAGGTGGAGGTGCGGCTTCAGAAATGGAGGCGGAGACTCAGAGTGGTTCCTCAGAGCCCCCAGGGCTTTACAGGGAGGAGGTAGAGCCTACTGGAGTCAGGATGGAGACTAGGCTCTTAGAGTCTCTGGGCAGCCAGTGCCCGAACCCCCCACCTTCAGCCAGGTACGAGGGTAAAGATTCCAACCTGCCTTGAGCGGGGGCACACATCTGGGCTATCAGGGTAGCATCTGGCTGGAGTTTGCTTCCCAGAATAGGAAAAAAATTCTCTATCAGGAAATAGGAAGTTAGATGTAGGGCCAGAACTGCACTCTGTTCCTGTGGGTGAGTTCTTACATTGGGTTAAGCTTTCCGCATCTCCAAACAGACTGCTCCCACAAATCTGCCAAGGATGATTTCTCAGGAGCAGAGGAGATTAGCAAGGGGGCAGTGGAGACCGAAGAGAAGTGTTAACAACCCCCTTTCCAGATGCTACAGTCTGGCTCCCGTGGCTGGGGCTGCCCTGGCCAATTTTGGGGGACAGCCTGAGGCCCCTAGTGGGGCCCCCTAGCCTGCCTCAGTCACCTTACTCCACCAGGACTCCCTGGGGAGGCCCCCCTACGTCTGTGTCATGTCTGAACTCTGCCTATGTTCTCCCTGCCCTCACGGTCCTCAGCAGGATCCTGAGGGCCGCCTCCAGGGTCCTCCTGGCCCACTGGCCCATCCCGGGCCTCCTCCCCACTGCCCGGGCCCTCGCCCAGCTCCAGGATGGTGGGTAGGTGGCCCTGCTTCGGGGATCGCTTGCGCAAGCTGAGCAGGAAGGGCTGGGGCAAGGAGAAGATGTCCACGTTGTTGCCCAGGTCGATCCACGTGACGTTGGGGAACTTGCTGGGGTCCTTGAGGGTGTCGGTGAGGTCACGCAGCAGGGCCCGCGTCAGCCGGTTGCCGTTGAGTGCCAGCGTGGCGAGGCGGGGCAGGGCGCTGAGCGCCGGCAGCAGCTGCCGGACCATGTCGTCCGTGAGGCCGGTGAAGCCCAGCTCCACGCTGTCCACCTGTTCCCCGCAGCGCTGCAGGTAGCTGGTCACCCGCTCCAGGTCCCGCGAGGTCAGCGGGATGCCCGACAGGTCCACCGTGTTGTCCGGAGGGCTCCCGGCCAGGACAGCCTTGAGGCTGAAGGGAAGAAGGCACAAGCGACGTTCAAGCAGGGGGCCTTTTCCCCAGGGGCAGCAGTGGCCGCCACCACGGGGCCACCTTCTGCTCTGCAATGCCGGGGATGGGAGAGACCAGGCCCTCTGGTCCCCGTGGTACTACCTCACATCTCAGCCTGGCTGGGCCCGGCTGTCCAGAGCTTGAGGGGCCACAAGGGAAAGAAAGGCCCAGATGTTTCTGCAGTGACTAAGGGTACGTTCTGGGTACCCATAGTGCCTGCGTTTGCATCTTCACTCTTTTTTTCTTCCTGTGCATGTGATCTTTAGTCACGTGATCTCTAACCCTGTGCCTCAGTTTCGCCTGAACAGATGGAGCTAATCGCGTACCACAGAGTTGTTCATGAAATAAGGTCATAGGCACAAAGCATTTAGGACAATGCCTTGTCCATGTGAGTTATGAAGAAGTATTTGCTGCTGTCATTACTTGGACTGAGCTTCCTGCGTCCCCAAGAGTGCCACAAAGTCTCCTGAGGCCTCTCTCGTAGGATAATCTTGCCCACCAGCTGGGGGAATCCTTAGGGAGAGCCCTGTAGGACCACAGGCAGGGGTGGGGTGCAGGGGCTCTGGGCTTGGGGGGCAGGTAGCTGCCGACTCCTGGAGGCTCAGTGCTCTGCACCCCCACCCACTCTCCCATCTGCTACTCCTCGCTCTTCCTGCTCCTCGTTCTGTGGCCAGAGCTCCCCATTTCCAGGTACCACATGAGCCCCAGGGCTCCAACCGTGGGCAGGAGAGGAAGGTGGAGGGGGCTCGGCCTGTTTCAAGAGCATATGTTAATAGCAGCAGCCCAAAGATGGCGGCTTGGACAGAAGTCTCTATTCTTGGGATCTGAAGCCGGAAGGCTCCTAGCAGCTGGGTGATCGTGGCCAGTCAAATGGCGACAGTAACATCCCCTACCTCGTTCAATCCTTCAGCAAGTGTTTGTTAAGCTCCCACTACATGCCAGGCACTGTCCTAGGCACTGGGGTCACAGTAGTGGACAAGATGGACAAGATCCCTGTTTTCACTCTACTGTGGGGGGAGGGTGGGGGGAGGGTGAGACAGACAACAAACGAGATTGAAGTGAGAGGGGTCTGCTCAAGGAAGCCTTCTCTGAGGACTTAATTTGAGCTGACATTTAAAGAAGTGGGCCATCAGAAGAGTCTGGTAAAAGTTCCAGCAGAGTGGGTACATGCAAAGGCCCTGAGGCTGGGAAGAGTTGGTGTCTGCGAGCCAGCAGGAAGGCTGCCTTGTTTGCAGTGAGGGGAAGTGAGAGGTGAGAGGCCACAGAGGAGCAGAGGGCCCATCATGGAGGGCCCTGTTTAGACTCAAGTGTGATGGGAAGCCGCCTGAGGGGAGCGAAGCTGTTGAAATGAAGAATGGGCTGAGCACACATGTGTGTTGGGGAGACAGGAGAGGAGGCGCCTGGATTCCAGCAGAGCTCACATTTCTAGCTTTTCAATCCTAAAGACCTAGCTCACAGACTCCGCAATGGCATTCCAGATTCCACGGGTCTTGCTGTCCTGCTCTGTCCCCCTGACCTCAGCCCAGTTGAGGGCTTGCTTCGTGAGAGCCTCACACTGTTCCTCCAGGATCCGGCTCCCCTCCTGGCTTTGGAGTGGGGGAGTCCAGAAGGGAAAGAGGAACCAGAGTTCTTGTGGGTGAGGGAGGGCAGTCCTGCCCCTACCCAGTCTAGGGGAAGGACACAAGCCACTCTGCCCCGGGATCATTTACAAGGAAGGCAGGGGCGCTCTCTCTAGAAAGCCTTCCTTCCAGGCTCCCCTTTAATTGGCTTCCTATGGTGCTACCTGTCTCGGTCCACAGGTTCTGTGTCCCAGCTGCCCCGAACCCCCCAATCTTTAGAAGGTCCAAAACCCCTTGAGGGTTCCCATTGCTGTGTGGGCCAGGGGCACGGCTGGGGTCTGGATCTCCCTAGGAGCCATCCAGGAGAACCAGGGGGGATCCAGTGGGAGTGCCCATGATGAGGGAGCTTGGGGCAAGTTGAGAGCAAAATACAGGCTGGCCCCACCCCCCCCCCCCCCCCCGCAGGTGGCATCTACATGATACTCCTCGGACACTCCTGGCCACCCAAGAACAAAGGAAAGGGGGTTTAAGTGCTCGCCATGGTGATGTGGGAAACTAAGGCAAATGAAAAATTACTCCCTTACTGCCTACAGCCCATTGACAAGTCCTTGGCACAGGCAGAGTGACGGTCCTCTGGGAGCTCAGCTGCCTCCATGATGACACTTTGCTAGGGGCAAAAGAGAACCTTAGCTTAACTTACCCCAACCTCGAGGATCCTGTAAGTCTACTTCCTTTATCTCAACTCCCCCAAGATACATGCTGGCCATCATACTCCCAAGCTTATGGCCCCTGATACACATCTAAAGGGTCTCATGGCTGAGGTTTTATCAAACGGTAATAAATGGCCTTTCCCTAGCAACAGCGAGCCCCTCAAGGTGCTGGAAACCTTGCTTCCAAAATTCCTTAGAGACTTACTCTATCCCCGACCCCCTCCCAACCTGAGGTATATAATGAGTTACCCCTCACGACCCCAATGAGCTCTTCCTGCCCGTGGGTCCTGTCCCTGTGCTTTAATAAAACCACCTTTTTTTGCACCAAAGACGTCTTCAAGAATTCTTTCTTGGCCATCTGCTCCGGACCACCCCACCATCACCCCAAAACCTCATCACCCATATTCCGCACACCAGGAATTAGACACTCCTCCCGTCGGCCTCCCCACCCACCCCTTCTGAATGGGCCCACACTCCCCAGTTCCCCACCCACAGACAGGGGTCCCGCCTGCAGCTCCCCTCATGGCTCTCGCCCTTGTGGAATGCCCTCCTTCAGTCTCCCCTCCTTCGGGGACCTTCCAAGACCAGCCCTCTGGTCTCAGCTCCTCCCTTCACCCCCCCCAGGGAGGGAGTGTGGTGTAACACCCGGCCTGGCATGGGTTCACTTCGGGCTACTCTGGAGGGGGAGGGGAGGCTGGGCAGGGGGCAGGGCAGCTCCACCTCAGGTGACGGAGACTCACCAGGCCTGTGGCTTCCTCTTCACCAGCCCCCGGTGCCGCCTCCACTGCGAGTGGGGGCTGAGGTGGTAAGTCAGCTGCCTGCACAGCTTCTCCGTGGCGCCCAGCGCGTCGCCTTCCTGCAGAGACGACCACAGGCAGGGGGTCCCTGAGGGGCAGGAACAGGCAGAGGGGCCCAGGCCCTCACCTCCAGCTTCCCGTCTCCACTGGAGGAGCACGACGCCCCCCGGGCTGCTCACAGAGGCCTGTCCTGCCGGCTCACGGAGGGACCCCCTTAGTAGAGGGCAGTGCTGCCAACGGATCTGCCTCATGTTCTCGTTTCTGTGAATTCGTTGCTGTGGCAAAATCGAGATTTACAGAGACCTCTGAATTCCAGACAATGTGACCGTTGAGCAGAGCTGAGTGCTGGCTGACCCCCTGGCTAGTATTCACCCTGGTCTCTGCCTCTCCCCAATGTCCAGGGCCTTTCTGCTCACCCATTTGCTCAACAAAGACTGACTACACACCCCCTCTAGGTGACAGGCACTTGTTCTAGGAGCCGGGGATACAGCCGTGAACTGATGGTCCCGCACTGGTCTTTCACATAGTAAAGACGAAAGGGAAATGCTTTTGTGGTGCCTCGGGCAAAAATGTCAAAAGTGGGAAAATAAAAGAATGGGGAGGCCAAGTCTTTTCCCAGACCACTTCATTCATCTACTCTAATCTATCTGGACAATCGGCTTTTTTTTTTTTTTTTTTTTTTGGTAAGTAAGCTCTATACCCAACGTGGGGCTTGAACTCACGACCTCGAGAACAAGCGTCGCATGTTCTGCGGACTGAGCCAGGCACTGCAGGCCCGTCCCATCAGCAGTTTGGAGTTTGAAATAACTGTCCTGAATTGTGTCCCGACCAAAGTTCTTAAATTTGGGTCCTAATCGCAGGTACCTTGGAATGTGGCTGTATGTGCAGAGTAATTAAGGTAAAATGCGGTCATTGGGGGTGGGCCCTAAGCCAGTATGACCGGTGTCCTCATGAAAAGAGATTGGGACACAGACATGCACAGAGGAAAAGACCATGTGAGGACACAGGGAGAAGATGGCCATCTCTAGGCCAAGGGGAGGACTCAAGAGATCAACCTTGCCAACATCTTGACCTTGGACTTCCAGCTATCAGAGCTATGAGAAAATAAATCTCCGCCGTTTAAGTGGTACTTTGTTATGGAGGGCCTAGTGAATTTACACTGGGTTCCAGGGGGCATCAGAGAGATGCTAGAGAGACGCCAGCTCTGTCCCAAGGAACGTCAAGCCCACAGACGGTCACCAAGCCCTGGGGGAGGGAGGGCCAAGAGGGCGGGCTCTTGCCAGGTGGCCCAGTGCTAAAAGCTGAGAGCCAGCAAGTGCTGGGGCTCAGATGCAAACCCACGTGCGGAGAGCAACATGTATGTGGTGAGGTTCAACCATGAACCTGTGACCAGTGCTCAGCAGAGTGCCCGGCGCTCAGTAAAGGCCAACTTGATGGCCTGTGACCATCGTCACTCTGCTAACGGAGAAGCAGCGTATTGAGTCATTAAGAGCACAGACTCAGAGCCAAACCTGGTGGATCTTCCCCCTCGTTTTGGTACCTCCTCTGTGACCTCAGGAAGTCACTTGACTGTGAAGGGATAACAAACCAGAGTCGCGGGGCATTTTGTGAGGATGAAAACACTTACAACTTGTAGAGTGCTCTGACTGTAGCTCAGCATGCAACTCTCCAGGAAAGCCCACTGGGTAAATACCGTGCTGTCCTGAGCGGGTAAAGAAGGAGGACTTCCATCCAAGGCTCAGATTTGAGTTTGGCTTTTAAGGGCTGATATGGGTTTGTGATTTTTGCACGGAGAGAGGAAACGAGGCATCCCTGAGTGAGGAGGAAATGGGTGCAAAGGTTTAGGTGTTGGGTGTATTACGGGGGCAGGAGTAGGTGACAACCTGGGGTCCTGTCACTTCTCGCCACCTCCACGGCTACCACTTGGTCCAAGCCACCACCATCTGTCACATGGATTACTGCACACAGACGTTATGCTAGGACTTTACAGAATCCCCACAACACCCCAGAGCAGAAACACTTTCATTATCCTCATTTTGAAGAGGAAGAAACTGGGGCGCCTGGGTGGCTCAGTCGGTTGAGCGTCTGACTTCGGCTCGGGTCGTGATCTCGCAGTTCACGGATTCGAGCCCCGTGTTGGGCTCTGTGCTGGCAGCTGGAGCCTGCTTTGGATTCTGTGTCTTCCTCTCTCTTTGCCTCTCCCCCACTCACACCGTCTCTCTCTCTCTCTCAAAAAAATATATAATTAATTAATTAATTAAAGAGGAAGAAACTGAGGCCTACAGAGCAAGGTTGGGGCTGATGGGAAGGCAAGAGAAGACCTTGAGGGTGGGAGACGAGAGAGCGAAGAGGCAGGAAAAAAGGGGTGTTGAGTGTCCACAGAGGCGAGGCATCCGAATGGGCATCCAGGAGACACAGGCTCGAGAGTGAATGCAGTCGGTTTAGACAGCACCTCTGGTCTCTGGTTCTCCAAGAACCTCACTTCCTACTGCCCACGCCTTCTGATAGACAAATGTCACCTGTCACTTCAGGCGATTACACGTGCAAACCCCTGGACGGCACGTTCTGATTCCTAGACTTAGTCTCTTGCTGAACCTCGTCATATGGGTGTGTCGGGAAGGGCTGAAAGTGACCGGGGCCGCCACGCTTGCCTGACCTGGCACGGGGCGGAGAGGGTGTGGGCTGGGAGGCGATGAGGACGGGTCCGGGCTTTGGGCTGGGGAGCTGGGTGAAAGGCAAGGGGCTCCAGGGGAGAAGGGACAGAAAGCAGGGCAGGGTTAGTGTCCAGCTCATTTGGAGCCACGTGAAGGATCTCCTGGAAGATGCTACTGGAATTACGAGGCTGGGGCTCAAGGCACATTCATCACATTCATCAGCCTCTGATGACACCCTCCCCCTCGGCCCCCCGGCCACGGAATGAGCTAAGGGGGAGGACACACTGGACACAAAGGGATGGAGAAGGCACAGTGTAGCCCTGAGCGCCAAGGAAAAGAGAAGAGTCTGCGGGACTCCAGTGTGGAGGCCTCGGCCAGAAGAGGCTCAGGGAGGGGCGCCTGGGTGGCTCAGTCAGTTAAGTGTCCAACTTTGGCTCAGGTCATGATCTCGTGGTTCATGAGTTCGAGCCCCACATCGGGCTCTGCGCTGACAGTTCAGAGCCCGGGGCCTGCTTCAGATTCTGTGTCTCCCTCTCTCTCTCTGCCTCTCCCTCACTCGTGCTGTCTCTCTCTCTCTCTCAAATATAAATAAAAATAATAAAAATAAAAAATAAAAATCCCTGCTGCCTGTGGCCAACCCCAGCATGGGTCTGCAGCTTGCATGCGGGGCTTGTTTCAAAGCTCCGCAGGTGATTCCCCTGTGTCGCCAAGGTGGAGAAGCACCAGTTCAAACGCTTCAAAGACAAGACGGACCGAGTGCGTGCGTGAGACTGGGTGGTCCGCCCGGCTTCACTCCTGGGACCACTCCGGGGAAAGAACATCGCCACCCTCCCACGGCACCTGCCCCAAAGCTGAGAACCGAGCTCCTCAGCTTGGGCTCCTCCTCCAACCACTTCCCAGGGTTGCCAAAGTCCGGGGTCATCCTCTGGGTCTGAGCGGCTGGGCCTTGGAAGGAAGAAACAAAGAGAGGAAAAGGCGGCAAAGCAGCCGCCGCAGTGCGCGGACACGGCCACTAGGGGGCAGCCGCGTGCAAGGCGCGGCAACGCGTGGACCGTGCGCGGCCGCTCCCCCACCTGGGAGACTGAGCAAGCCCCATTCCTCACCAACAAGGACAATGGATACGGTCACCTCACCGCTGATCGGAGACTCAGCGCGAGCTAGTGTCCTTCCAGAAGTGAGAGCTCCCCTCCACTATGTAGTTTGTCTGGACTACATACACAACAGCCAACATTTGCTGCTCATCTACTGGTGGGCGTCGCCCCTGCATTGTATGCACAACCTCGTCACAATGCAGTTAACTCGCAACCATCCCCTGAAACGGGCGCTATTATCCCCACTTTACAGACGAGAACTGAGGCTTACGGAAGTGGAATAGACTGGCAAGCCCCACAGCTTGTAAAATGGAATGGGGACTCCAAGCTCGGCTCTGAGGCTGGCATCCTTCCCGACCTGCCATCCCGCGCTGCGCTCTGCGCTGCCCTCCCGGGGATACGCCTTTTGCTTTCGGTGGGTTCAAGGTGTTTCTCTCACTTGCACCCACAAAAGCCGCCTTAAGCAAGCCCATCTAATTTTCCCCCAGCTCCGTCCATTTTCGAAGGCCCCTCCCGGCCTCCCTCCTGCGGAGAACAGGACAAAGCAAGGGCTGGCCCCGAGTTGGAGAAGTCAGGAGAGGGTGGGGAAGGGAGAGGACGCAAGGAGAGGGAGGCGGCAAAGGAGGAGGAGGAAGTGCCGTTTCTGCGTGGTTTCCAGAAACAGCCGCCTCTCGGTACAGAGCAGCCACGCGCCCCTTGTGCAACCTCGACCGCGGAGTTTGAACACCGGCGCCGCAAAGGAACGGGGTCCGCGCGCCCTGCACCCAGCAATGCGCGCTCTGCAGGGCCCGCTCTGCTCGCCAAAGTGGTGAGGCCCAGCAGCCCCTTTGTGCAACCAGACCCCATCCCGGGCCGCAGCTGATTGGCCCAGAAGCGGGCACTAGCAGACCGCAGCCAACCAGCCGTGTCCTGGGGACGAGACACACCCCCGTCTCCTCCCCGGGCTGGACGCCGCCCCCCACCCCCCACCTCCACCCACCTCCAGGAGTAAACCCGGAGCCCTTGGAATGGAGAGGGAGGCCGGGGTGAGCAGAGAGGCGGGACGGAGAGATGTCTGCCCTGCACTGTAGTTCTAGCCCCGCCTTCCAAGCGTGGCTGTCTTTGGGCCCCACAAGACAGCTGGATAAATTCTCTTCTTAGCCTGAGGCAGCGTGAGTGGGCTTCTGTTACTTGCGACAGTCCTATCCCACGCCCGAGGCTCAAAGGCGGTTTGTGGAATCAATTCTGCAGCCCTTCCTCCCACCCATGGAAAAGGAAGAAGAAAGGAGAGGGACATGGTGCAAGCCAGGGGGGACCGGGCACCGCAGGGTGGGG